GATCACTAGGATTGAAGGAGATGATGCTTAGAGGCACGTCGTCGACGATCTGTGCCAAGAAGACCAAGATTTCGTTGGCCACGGTCGCTCTTCCTCGTGGTGCCACCTCATCAAAAAGGAGTCTCACAAAAAGTCCACTTGTATGTGATGGGCCAAAAGCAGAGTAATTCCGTCCGCGAAGACTACTTTCCGATTTTCGTAATAACGCGCCCAATGCGCCTTCACTGAGAGCAGACAGAAGCTTGTGGCTACAAATCCTATCCAATCGAGAATATACTCAGGACGAAAAAGGGGGATTGATGTGCGATGGATTTCAAAAGAGAGTAGAGGATCGGCCCGAGATGGCCAGAGAGTTGAAGGATTAAAAGGGAGAGAGAAAGTAGAGAAGTAATTCATCCGTGAGGAGGGTGGAAGGGACGAAGAGCAAGAAGCAGTGGGGCCGTAAAATCCGATGTACTGAATCACAGCAAAAATGTGTCGATACACTTTGTGCCCACCACCTGCTCGCCTGGTCTGGCCAGATGCGGCCGCCAATCCGCCACGGGTTCACACCCCCACCCGTACAGTCTCTCCACTGTTTCACTCCGCCGAGCGATGTCGATACCGCAATAATCGCCACTGAATACGACTATCACGGTTACGTCACTTCACCCTGACTGAGAGTAATGTAAAAATGTTGATGCCTCCACCAAGATCACCGCAGAACCATGATCCGTCGAGATCGTCCCCTCCGCCGCTGAGTACCTAGCTTGTCGGTTGAATAACTATGCGAATCGCAGTAGATCGGGGTTGAGCCGCAGATGAACTACTTGGCGAAACTGCAGGGACGCTCGAGATATAAGAAGTCGAGTAGAGATGGCCGACTCAAGTGCAAAACCCATGGCGATGCCTAGGAGCAAGGGTATCAGAAGAGGAAGAGGAAGGAAGAGAAAAATCTTTGTCTCTACTAGAGAGAGAGGAGGAAGAAGGAGCGAGAGGATCAGGGGAAGAAAGGGGACGAAGGTAAGAGATATGATGGACGGAAGAGAGTTATGACTTGCACCGTTTCCAAGTCATGCACATCGTATCAACCCCATCGGGACCAAGTTCCACTACGCAAAAACAACCAGAAAACTTGGGAGCGAGTTTCCAGTTGCGTGCACATTTATGGGTTTTTTTTTTTTTTTTTTTTTTTTTTTTGACAATGCTTCAATTTATTCGTGGGGAGCCACACGTGCTGGGAACCGAGCCCAACATCCCATATGAAACATGAAACATAATTGAAAACATATACAGAAAAACGAGACTTTTATCCGTTTTTGCCTAAGAATAGGATCATGAGCAATTACTAGCCTATTGGATGAAGAACCCCACGAAATAGGCTAAAATTCAGAGAAAGTATGAAAAAATATGAAAAAATATGAGAAGTTTTTTTCTAAATTGCAAGAAAGGACTATAAAAACCTCTTTTTTTTTAAGATACCGGGGTCATTACCCGACTTTGGCTAAGAACATTATGAACTATTTAGAAAATTACTACGACAATCTTCAGAGAAAAAAACTGACATTTCGTTAAAACTAACATTTTTTTCTAAATTCACGAAATTGAGCGTACAAAAAAACAACATTTTTTTTGGTTTTTTTTGTCCCCATGATGTCGGATGATCAGATCATTGGATGTCGTGGCGACTCCCAGTGATCTGACCATTGGATGTATGTTAACGGTACTTTATGTTGAGGTACATCAGATGGACAAAGTGAGATAACCACTTTCTCACCCAACGAGCAATGAAATTTTGACGAAGTCCATTTTCGTAAATTTAGAAAAAAAAATGTCAGTTTTGACGAAATGGCAGTTAAAAAGGGGCTACTAACAACAAAAATTGCTACCACAAAGGTCCTACAAATGTTCAAAACCCTCGGAATCCCTTCTAAGAATCTCCAACATTGTCTTACTCCCTGCCGAGCTCTTCCAGGCGTCACACCCCCACCTTGTTGGGTTACAGGGCAACACAACTCGCCCTAGGTCGTAGTTGCACGAGGTCCCCTAATTTATATCGAATTTGAGGGTCCGCATTCTCATTATGGGCCTCATAACTGCAGACCTGTCTACCGTAGGCCAACTCGATCATCCTTGTTTTTTTATGGGTCAATCTAGGGACTGTCTTTTCCATTAATTTAGCGTACCTTTTGGCCTTGGCCTTAAGGGACGTCCGTGTGTCCTTTCCCCATGGCTCGACATTTTCCGAGACATCCTGGTTGATGACATAGGGAATACTATTGGTCCGTAGTTGGAAGGGGGTGAATCCTGTCGATTCATGAGGGGTGGCGGGATGAATTCCAATGATCTGGTACACAATCTTGGGCTAGGGTCGTGTGTCATTAGCCGCTAGATTCTGTCGTAGGGCGTTTTTTATCATGCGATTTGCATTTTTCACAAGTCCATTGGACTGGGAGACATGCGGGGCAGTATGTCGGAGGGTGACGCCTCTACGTGTCAACAGTTCCTCTACTTCAACCTTAAACTCAGACCCATTATCGGTTAAAATCTCTTTTGTATCTAGATGGATGTTGAGGAATCGGTCGATGTAGGTAGCTATTCCTGAGGCCTTGTGCCTCTTGCACGAATAAATTTCTATTATTGATACCCTACATTATGATATATATATCATATATCATACATTGTTGTATTTTGAAAAACGATCATTTAAAACCAGTAAAATCGAATATTCGGAACGGTTAGGGTCAGGTGGCACGTCAATAACTGTAGTATCTATGTTGGCACGCTGAAAAAGACACTCTACCTCTGTCGGAACTATTGTGTTTGAACCACGATTCGGTGCCTGATCGACGACACAGACTAGACAATTATCGACCACGTGCCTAACTCCTCGCAAATATTTGAGCAGAATCATTCGATTGATAGCTCCTTCCGTAACACGTATCACAAAGTGAGCAGCCTGTTCCTTGTGAGCGAATCGGGTCCAATCGTACTCTTGGAACGGGTGTGGAACCGTCAACCATAATTCTGGTCCGTCTATTTTACGCTTTTCTAGATGACAGTTGATCCATCGATAGTCCCGAGATCTCTCGGTTGCCCGTCAACCATAATTATGATCCGTCTGTTTTACGCTTCTCTAGATGACAGTTGATCCATCGGTAGTCCCGAGATCTCTCGGTTGCCCGACGTCTATGATGCTTTGTATCGCCCTCTAGTGACTTATCAACTAACTTTGTCAGTAGGATTTTATCCGTCCAGACTTCCGCTCGTCGGAACTTCTTATCGTATTCAAGTCCGTCAGCCCTGACGGCTTTAAATAGAGCTTACGTAAGAAGCTTATCTGTACGACACAGAGGACACTTCCAAACCTTGCTAACCGTTCGATATCGAACGGATGCGCCATGCTCGCGATTGACACACTTGGCACAATCTACCCAATTAATAAATCCCGGGTCATGTGGGTAAAAATCCACTATGTAGACTCGTGAAATGCATGTGGAAAAATAACAGAACTTATCTGGAAGATCTGAGAAGAATGAAGGATCAACGAGCTGAGTAGGAGTAGAAAGATTGGGGAGAGAGGGGAGAGCATCCACCGTGTTTGAGTGAAGATTCAAACCTTCTGGAGGATTTCCACTTCTTCGTACTTGTGCTCGCTCTTTGATTTTGGATCGTTCCACGGGGTCACTCTTCACTTGTAGGGACTCCGTCGGGCCGATGCATACGTGTCAGCCCGTCAGCGTTTCCGTGTCGTTCGTGCTTCATGTGGCGAATGGCAAATTTCATGCTCTGCAACATGGTAGCCCATGGTTCCATCATACCCGAGTAATCCTTCAACTTCTTCGATTTATTTTTTTTACGAGAAGGTGATGGAAGCCATGACGGACATCAAACTTGCTGAAAAAGCACTCACATCCAATTTCTTTAGAAAAATGCCCCTGAAAGATGTGGGTAGAGCGAAATGCCTTTTTGGGCCGAAATGTTTGTGTTGTGCCCCTGTCAGGTGGGTGTGTAATTTTGCAATCTGGACCTTCCGGTTTGGGCCCTGGCCTTTCGCAGTAGCACCTAGGAGAAGCTGGCAAGTACTGGGCCATTTTGCAAAGTTGGACGGTACCCAGTAAGGGTATATTGCAAAGAGGGGGCTCCAACTGACCGCAGGGGTATTTCACAATTTATTTTTTTGTCAGAGGGGCATTCCGCTCTACCCACATCTTTTAGGGGCATTTTGGCGTATATCTCAAGTTCTGGGGGTATTTTGCAAATGTTTCCTAAAATAAAATTCCCAAAGAAATAAAAGAAGTGATAAATCAATAATGACGTAATAAATACCTTGTCATAACACAATTACCGGGCAAGGTGTGAATAACGGCAGCAGCAGAAAAGGAAAGCGGGCTGACCGGAGGCGGGGGGAAGCGATTGCTTCGTTCCTTTTCGAGGTTGCTCATTCACTCGTAGGACAGCAATGATAGGAGAGCATAGTTACTGTGAACAACAACAACAACAACAACAATAGTATACCCACACTGCTACTACCGTAGTAGTAGTAGTAGGACTCTCGTAAATGTAACTGACTGCCATTACGGCCCGAGGTGGATGAATATGACGGCAATGATGTCCAGACCTTAGGAGAAAAAGTAGTCCTAAGAAAAAAAAAAAAAAAAAGAGTTAGTCCTAGGTAATGCGACCTCGCGGTATTACGACAGGTCACGGCGGGCGTCGGCGCCACGCCAAGGCCAAGTAAGGCCCTCGTGGCACTACTCGCCATTCTCCAACATTTTGATTGCATGTAGACATCATTTTGGGCCAGATGCCCTTCGAAATCTTGGCGGATGGCGAGTAGAACAACGCGGGAAAATGTTTCGCGAAGGACAAAAGGACAGCTGAGCGCCAAGAAGAATTCACCCTTCGGCGGGCGCCAAGGAGAAAAGAATTCACCCTGCGGCGGGAAGTTACGTGTTTTTCGTTTCCTCGACATTTTGCGAGTCGTCCTTGAATGCGAAGAGCCGGCGTGAAGTTACAAGCGGCCTCACAGCGACCGAAAATTTGGGCGCCATAATTGTGGCACAACAAGTAGTATACATATATATATCATTTGTAGAATTAGTACCTGTAGTCCAGCACAGAATCAGATTTTGCGATTCCACGGTATGTAGTAGGGTAGTAGAAGAGCAGCGGAGCGATGTGGAGCTGTAACCTTTGCTTGTGGTTTTGAACTTTGAACCCCAGCAGCAGTGTCATTCAGTTCATCAGTGTGAAGGCGAGTGTGTGGAAAGGTAAGATCGATCGGTCGCTCGCTTGCTACCGGTAGCTAGCCTGCTTGCTTGCTCGCTCGCATGCAATATTTGAAGGCCGCCGCGAAGATGAAAGGCGTGCCATCGATATGGCAGCAAGTGGGAGTCGTGGCGACTTTCTCAGCTTTGACTTTCTGGTATGGATTTATGACAGGCAAGGAAGTAGCTAGGAGGGAATTAGACGTGCACGTAAATCAGCTCAAAGATGCAGTTCTAGAGCTGCAGCAGAAAGTGAAGAGTGCTCAGAATGAGACGTAGCTAGCTGGTTGTCTTTCTACCCCTTGATGTTCAAAATTTGTCGAGTTTTTTATACTATCGTCTTTGAAATTTGTCGAATTTGTTACGTATATGTATATATATATCGTTTATATATAGTTATATAGCCTCCTGATGTTTGTCGGAGTTCGGTGAAACTCCGACAAAACAGTTTGCCACACAGCCCCTCGTTTGTTGTCCTCTCCTCCCTCCCTCTCTGCCTCTACGGCTTACCGGGCAGTTCTGTATACTCGTTTTGTAATTGCAAGGTGTTGATGTGGCTCCTTCTGGGGGCAGCAGGCTTCCTAGCTGCTCCTCCGTTGTAAGTGCATGGAGTTGTGGAATTCTTTGAATCAATAGCACGAAGTGATTGGCCTGTCTTACACGCTGCTGGGAGAGTCAGATGAGAGTTTTTTTTTTTTTTTTTTTTTTAATTTATTTATTTTTAAAGAGAGAATTCTAGTGAGTGGGGGAAAAAGAGTAAGGGTTTTATTGTTTGATGACTAGAGGAGGTGATGGTTGTTCGTGTTCTTCTTGTTTTCGTGTGTTTATGTATTAGGGCAGAGGATTGAAATATCATTTGCCTGAATGTATGTGATCCATTGAATTACCATTTTCCTGGATGTATATGATACAGAAACATGGCCAGATTAGATTCGAAAAGGCCCGAGTGTCGAGTATGCCTTCAGTTCTTTCGGATCAGTGGAACAAGTGGGAAAGTGGTAATGATCTTGTTGATATGATGATTGAGGCGGAGGCGGAGCGCTGAAGAATGTGGGAGCGGGATCTGTATTCTTCTTTAGGGGGGCACCCACAACACTAGGATCTTCCTGGATGAATGTGACATGTGACCCCAATGACAGCGAGACCTGAATGTATGTGACCGCAATTACGTCCGGAGTGCAGTCGAAAAAGTCCTGGTGCTGAAGAGGATGAGAGTGGGATGCGTATATGCTTATTTAGGGCTTACTCACAACACTAGGATCTTCCTGGATGAATGTCACCGCAATGACAGCCAGACCTGAATGTAAAAAACGTGGTGCGAGTATTCTCCTTAGTGCGAAAGGAAGGAAGAGGAAGGGATGAAAAAGGTCTCCGCCAGTAAAAACAAGGAGTGTTAGAGAGCTGGCGCGAAGGCAAACATACTTAGGAGGGCATAGACACGCTGGGCGCTTTCGCCGACGTATCTCTCCATGATCACCGCCAGATTCAGTCGGGAAAAGGCGGCGGCCTTGGGATTTATCAACTGGCGACCAGCCTCAGAAACGAGGTCCCACTAAGAAATATATGATTGGATCAAGCGCCTGAATCTGGGTGTTGCTTTATGCACAGATGCAGCGATGCATCTCTCCATGATCACCGCCAGATTCAGCCGACAAAAAGGCGGCGGCCTTGAGATTTATCAACTGGCGACCAGCCTCACTAGCAAATAGGATTGGATTAAGCGTCTAAATCTGGGTGTTGCTTTATGNCAGAGATGCAGCGATGCATCTCTCCATGATCACCGCCAGATTCAGCCGGCAAAAAGGCGGCGGCCTTGAGATTTATCAACTGGCGACCAGCCTCATCACTAGCAAATAGGATTGGATCAAGCGCCTGAATCTGGGTGGTTGCTCTACGCAGAGGTGCAGCGATGCAGAAAAGCACAGATCAATCGCGATAGCGTGCACCTTTCTACAAACATGTCCAGATAAAGATAGTACATTTAATTGGAAGTTCAAATTAAGCCGTTAAATCCAAAGCAGATCAATCGCGATAGCGTGAACCTTTCTACAAACACGTCCAGATACATTTAATTGGAAGTTCAAATTAAGCCGTTAAATCCAATCCGCTTTGCTAATGGGACCTCGCGCCAGGTATAATTTGTTACGATCCCTGCACCCTTTTTTTCCCTCCATCATTGATATGATAGTTTGACTATCCTTAATTGCTACATAATTGTGGTTGGGATTAATCATCGTTCCCAACCGGCCTTGTGTGCCCCAGAGACATCAGTCCCATCTAATCGAGAGATGTCATGCATCGTGTGACCTGTTGAGCTCTGCCTTGAACCCAGAAACTCTCTGGTGGAATCCAGGCGTGCAACAACTCGGGGGTTACTCAACGGGACGAGATTGGCCACATAAGCAAGTAATTTTCTTCCTTTATTCGCTTTTTGAATACAGTTTGGTAACCAGGTCTAGGAGTTCGATTAATGATTGATTAATTGGTTGGTTGATTGATTGATTAATTGGTTAATTGATTGATTGATTGATTACTTGGTTGACTGATTGAGTGATTGATTGATTGGTTGGTTAATTGTTTGATTGATTGATTGAATTGTTCACTTTTTCCATAGGGATTGACTGATTGGTTTACTCCATGATTGATTGATTGATTGATTGATTTGGTCAATTAGTACAATTACTCGATTCCGGTCGCGCGTTTGATTTGTTTTCATTTGTTAGATTGATTCATAGGGTGATCTAACGATTAACTGATTTATTGATGCATTGGTTGCTTTTTACCAGTACTGATTGACGACTCGATTGGTTTGTGTGTTCCTTCACTCCCCCCTTCCCCCCCCCTCCCCTCCCCCTCTTTTTTTTTCTATCATACTTCGAGTGCTTGATTTTCAATCAGTGGATAGATGTGGTGTGACCGGTCGATGGTGAAGTCGCTGTCTCTCGTG